GGGATCTAAATCAATTAGCTTCCAGTAAATACGCTAATCAGGAATAAAATTATCCACTATTAATATAAACTGAGTTTCTCTCTAGAAGATTAGAGGTTCTCTTAGACGAGCCTCATCATAGGCTGACATGATCAGAAAACTGAGAAGCAAGCAGCTTGGTTGCTTCATTTGAAATTCCATGAGTAATTGGAATAACACATTCCATACTCCATATGGAATTGGAATAATGCATCTCAATTCCATTAATTTTGATGAATTTAAAACATCTTATGCCAATTCCACATGGAATCCCTTATGAGGTCAAAGATTTAGATATAAATTACAAAGATTTTTCGGATTTGATCCAAAAGTTAGCAAGGCATAACTATTGAAATTCCTAATATGGTATGTTTGTAGTATGTTTCAGCAGCTACATTAAATGCAATATATGTTGATAGCCTTCACCAAGTATGACTTTTTCTATTAAAGTAAGACTTGTTTTTGCAATCATAATTGTCTTCCACTACAGCATTCCTCTGCTTGAACCTTTTTGCTCTCGCTCTACTAATATTTCTTTTTAATAAAAAAATTCTACTATGGTATATTAACATAAATAACCATAAAAAAATGTAAGAATAGTGGCATTAGAATATAAATTCCAACATGACCAGGGCATCTCATATGCTCTTGAATTGTAATTATTTTAGTAAATTCAGAAAAATTATTTACCGGGTATTGAGGCCAACCCCAGATCGAACCAATTGAGCAAGACGAGGGACCAACTGATCCAATGTTTCACCATTCACAACATTTATGCACAGGTCTAGAGTTTCCCACATAGGAGAGCTTTTTGCAATTGAAACTCGTAAAGTTTCAAGTTTCTCAGTTTGTATTCCAACATTAGCTGCATGCAACTAGAAAACAGGAAAATAAACATGGTAATAAACAAGAAACCATGTCATAATTTTTAAAAGTGTAAAGGCACAGATTTCTCATCAAACCTCTACATAATTGAGTGCCTGGTCTTCAAGGCTAGATAAACTTTCCAGCATGCAACAAACTAAATCAGATAGATGTGGACGAAGGGAAACTCCTGCACCCTGCAAATAAGGTCTATTAAGTCTGCATAAATAAAAGAACCAAAGTGCTCCCACGGGCAAAGGAGTAAGTAATAATCATATTAACAAATCAAGTCATAGCTTCAGATGGTTTTGGTACTCCATCTGATGGGGTTAAGAGACAGACACAGAGATGCAGTACATAGACCATCAAAAAAGCAGAGGCCAAAACAACAAATAAATGAAACATGAAGAAATAGACATATT